CATTTTAACGCATTTGGCAAACGGGGTTGCGTGCAGAGGCGATAAGCTTATCTCTCCACCGAGGTGGGTTTACACCGGAGCTCCGACTTGCCTCAAGCGAACGCCACGCGCCACCCACCTTGCGCAAAACAAAATCCTGCCACCGCAACGAGTCCACACGTCGGGGGTGGGGGGGGGGATCAATCTGCACAGCTGCGCTGCACGCAGCCGACCCTCGCTCGTGACGACGCGGAGGATGCGTCCGTCTCCGCAACAGGTGACGTACACACGTGGGAGGGTGGGGGGGCGACGTGATTCTGGTTGCACAACTCCTCGCTCCGGCGTGGACAAAGCGGCGGCACGCGACGGCGGAGCTGCGCGAATTTGAGAGAGATTCCTTTGGTTTCGCCGCCAATCGCCCCGGATTCAGAGTCACGTGATGTGCGACAGCCGCATCCGGTACCTTGGGCTCCTTTGCTTTGGGATCGCGCAAAGACTCACCAAAGCAGAAGCGAATGCTTGTTAAAAGCTACCTCTCTTCCATCCCTTCCCTTGAGGCAATGGGGGGGGGGGGGGGGAAGGGGAAGGAGATACAATGGCCCAGGGATGGCTTGGGTTAGATTTCCGATGGATGAGAAATGTGGTATAAGAAGAGGGCAAAGTTTCACCTGACTCGGCAGCCAGGACAGTCCCACTCTGGATTAGAACTTAAGGATAGGGCTTAAGAGACGGAGTGTACGCGAATAAACAAGGAGCATACTGCGAGTAAACCAAAAATCAGGTCGGGCGCAGAGAGGAGTCCGCCTGTAGGAGTACAACAACATGGCGCAACACGGGGCAACGGCGTGAAAACATCGTGCACGCCCGCACCCCAGCAGTCCGGAGCAAAAACACAAACTCATCTGGAAGGCGGTGGGCGACCTGTGCACGTGCGCACAAGCGTGGCACGCGAGGCAGCGTGGTGGGGATGGTTGCTGCTGCGAGCGGTAAACCAGGAGGCGGCTGCGGTAGCGTGGGGGCAAGCGGCGAACGCTCCCCCCCACCGCGAGCGTGGCAGTGGCTGGCACCTCCCTCGCCGCACGCCGTGTTTCAAGGTCCCCCCAACCCCCGTGCCCCCCCCAACGCCCCAGACGATGCGGCGGCCGACTAAACGGCGAATGCGGGCGACGTCTCGGCGCTCTGACGGGGCGACCCCCTGCCATGCCTATGGAGCGAGGTCAGAGATCCATGCCGGGTGTTTTGTTTATTTTAAGCTTGTGTTTTAAGGACCCTCCCATTCGTTTTTTCAGATGGTGGTGGCGTGTTGGCCGGCACGTTGTCCGACGTTTTGCTCCTTGCGCCGTGGAAGCTTTTTGGAAGACAACGGTGGCAAATCTGCGTAGGACAGCGGTGGGCCGAACCCTCACCCAGGGCCGGATGGGCGAACGACGCACGTCAAAGAGGAGAACGGTTAAACAGCAAAGCTCGTGGCCCGCAGCAAGCGTTGCATGTGCAAGGTTGAGGGGAGCTCCTTGCGGGCCTTCACCTCACGCGTAGCAAGGGGCACTCCAGAGTGGAGAGGTAGCCAGCTACGCTGACCGCTTAAACACCAGGGAACTTTGAAAGCTCAATGTTTATACGACGATTATGAATGTGGTGGAGTGGTCAAACAACCCCCGATGGCCAACACAGCATAGGGGAGGGCCTTCATCTAAGTCAGTGGTGGAAATTCCACATTCCTGTGGGCGGTGCTCAGTCTCTCCATAAGTCAACCTCTGTTGATTTTGCGCAAAGTTGGGACTCGTTTCACTGGATCCTGGGGAGGGCGTGATGGGAAGCAGCGGTGGCGTAGTGCGGTTGTCATGGGCCCTGGATCAACCAATTCCATTGGGCCCCTTCCCTCTATATTCCCCCCCTCCTCCACTCTTCCTAGCTCAGCTTGTGGGCCCCATTGCAGCTGCACAAACTGCACTCTCCGTAGCCACGCGGGCCACTGTTATGAACGGCGGCTGTTAAAAAGAGAGCACTGTACTGCTGTGTGCGAGTGCTTTTAATATCCTGTTCAACTATTTTTGACCTCGGCATGGTATGTGCAACAGGAGGTGTGCACAGACAAGCGTGCATGCCGAGCAAATTTGTATGTGCCAATTGTTTTTAATTTCACAATTACTGAACACAGGTTAACGGTGCTTATCGTCGCCATATCACGAAAAAAGGCACCTCCACTCTGCAACAAGCAGTGCATCACCTTGTGTCAGAGCCTTAAAAAGAAAATTATATATCAAGGCCTTTCCCTTCTGACATTGTCCCAATAAATTTTGATTTAAAGCTTTCGTGGCTGCAGGGATTCATATTCTTGGTTCTTTCGGTAAAGTCACGTAGAAGGGAAACAATAAAATAATATTACATATCTTCTTATTTTAAGGCCACTGTTACTGACACACAAAGTGTTGAGTTTTTTTTTGTTATCTCTGCATGTGCACCACTACCACGACAGCAGCAGCACCACCAGATGATTCGTGTTGGAGAGCGGCCCTCAAACCACAAGGTCAAACGACTACTTCGCAAGGTCGCTTTGCGAGGCCACGCTCTTCACGCCCAGCACCACACCTTTTTCCTCTACCCCACAAAGACGGTTCTCGTGACACATCGGCCACGCCCACCATTTTAAGTTGCAGAGCTGGAATAAACCACATTAAGCGGAAAAAAAAAACTAATTTAATTACTGTAGTTTTTGACCGAGCTGAGACCATCGACTGCACTTGAAAAGCCGGTTTTGTCACGTGCAGGTGAAACCCAGATTCAAAGTCAGGATCTCTCAGCGGTGCCGGCTCGGCGCTATGTGGCCAATTATCCCACAAGGCCATCCCCTGCAGAGCAATGCTTTTATCGTTACAAATTACAGAAATTGGCTGTCAGAGTCCCAACGTGAGACAAGGAAATATCGTTGTGGAATCATCTCTTTAATCAGCAGTTATAATGATGATGATGTCGACTTGTAGCGCACCGCCGTCATACAGTATTCACTCGCTCTCGAAAAGAGACTGAATGACTCGCAGCGGGCATGAGGAGCAGCAGGCGGAACCACAGAGTCTGGGAACCGGTTTTATAACGACGGCCCCCCCGAAACCCAGAGTCCAATCTTAGAAAGGCCAAGTAAAAACGGCGACAGGTGGGCCCGGCTCGTCGCGATCGCCAGGCGTGGTCACCGCCCGATTAACCGGGCACTCCGCCCTGCGCCCAGTGCCACGGGCAATCACGGAGAATTCGGGAAACTGTCATCAATGCCCGGGCCGGCACGTACACAGCGCTGGAGCGGAATTGCTTACGGGAGCCTAAATTAACAAATCGGCGACGTTTCGGGCAAGGGCCCTTGTTCATGGCGCAGGGCCATTGTCCGCACGGCGTCAGACCTCTGCACGTGCGATCGCCCCTCCCCCAAGCCTCTCGGCTCACGAACCGCCACCTCCACCGCCAACGTGCGGAGCGCGCAGAGCGGGCCGCACAGCAGGCGAGTGGTAGCATGCTGCTTCCGTGCCATATTTATAAACGTGCTCATTAGCGCCGCAACACCCAGCGGTAATGCTCTCAAGAGCGCTCCTTGCATCGCGCCATCCTATCACTCCAACACCCCCTTACCGCATCAAATCAGATGTACGTATGTAGAACTTATTTTTCAACGTACGTAGCCAACCGTGATAATTGGATGTGCAGGGGAAGGACACACTAAACACAAAAAGCAGTTCTAAAAAAATGAGTTTACATGTGTATACATAACACGGAAATAGCTGCGAAAATAAACAAAATATCTACCACCCTGTTCTCACATGTGCCGCTGGAGGAGCGGTCATGGGTGGAACTTGGTGACGTGATCTGCCGCGTCACACTTGGCTGTGGCTTGTTGGGTGGGGGAGGGTTGGGGGTTTCCCTCCTTCGAGAGGCAGAATGTAGGAGCCGCCACCATGTTTACATAGGCTCGAGTAATCGAACACAAAGTAGTCGATTACCAAATTTTACTCCCAGCTCTATCAGATTGTGACGACTGCTGCTGCAGTTGCTGCTGCACTGAAGAGGCCAGCACTGGGGTTGGTCGGGCTGCCTTTGTAGTTTGAGGCCAAACTGCCACGAGCAAAGAGAGTCGACAAGTACAAACGAGACCACCGCTGCTGCTGCCGCCATCCACCTGAGATCTACCGCCTTTGCTATGCCTTTCTCTCTCTCCCTTCTCTCGCACACCAACTCCTGTCCTGGGCCATAAACTCCACATCGTCCATCTTACCAAGTGTTGGTAAGAGGCCCTTGCAATGACAGAAGTTGCCAAGAGCACGCGACAACAGAAAGACGCCGTTTTCCCAGGTCGAATATTATTATAGTATTATTCCCCTCTGGGACCTAATTAGTGCCGAGATGGCGCTTGCGAAAAACGTCTGCAGGCCTCACGTGGCAGTGGGCCGAATGAAATTACGTCATGGGCCTTATCTAGCCCATAGGCCTTACGGGCCAACCCACTTTGCCCTGCCCAAAAAGCACCATCCCCATCCTGGGTCCCTCACTCCTCCCTCCCCGCCCCTCTCCTTTTGGCTCCACCGTTAAAATCTCCCACCTCGTCGCGAGAGAATCATTCAGCCGCCTGCCGCTCAAATTAATCAGGTCACGACAGGCAGGGGGCCCCTGTGGAATCTCAATGCAACCCTCGGCTCATAATGGCTCGCAACGTACGGCAGCCTCGTGGCTGCGCGGTACCGCGCCCTCGTGCCTGCAGCCTCTTGCGGTCACGCCGTCGCTTTACCAAGCGGTTGTTTGGATTCCTACAAGTAAGTATTTATTGATGCACGCTGCCGTGCAGCCACACCGGTGTTGCAACCCAGAGGTGGCCGGTCCGAACTCCCCGAAGAAGTCGTTGCAACAATAGCGCACGTTTCTTCAATCCCCCCACCACCCCCGCGCTACCGCCTCTGGCCATCCGGCAGAACAAACGGCAACACAGCAGCTAGTCGATCGGCTGATCGCAGGTGGTGGGGTAAAGCGTGGGTAACGCCCACCTTTTTCCAAGACGTCTTGCCGTAAGCGTGGAAGAGTAGGCCAAATACTCTCCAGAGGGGCTTCTCTGGAGCTCCCTCTAGCAGAAGATCCTTCCGCCAGCAGTGGCGCGAACAGGAATTTGCAGGACTGTGCATCCGACGTCACGGACACGCCGTGCCCGCCGTCTCGCTTGACAACCACGTCCTCCTCGAGGCGAGACGCGCACAGCCACCGTGGCGGCGCCCCGAGGCAGCGCCCCGAGGCAGCGCATCCATCCACCCTGCGTGGACCACAGCGAGCACTTGGGCTTGCAGCGTTGTTGGCGCGCGCATCGACCCCCACAACGCCAACAGTGCTCGAGCAACGACAGCGCCAGCCAAGCGGGCCGCCTTGCGCCGCCCTGGGCATCGGGCGCGGCCACGCGGCTTCGCCTTGCACCGACACCTCCACCATACCATGGACGCTTGACAACGTCGCTATCCTGTGTCACTGAGCTCTCATCTCTCTCTCTCAAGGTCTCCCCCAGTACCTCTCCTGCACCCTGATCATTCCGCTGACCACGGCAACAGACCACGTCCGATATTCCTGCTCGTCGCACCCGGAACCGGCACCGTTCCTGGTCAAGCGGCGATTCCCCGAAGCTGCACCGGCAGCGGTCTGGAATTCTCTCGCACTGCATACGCAGCAGCAGCATCATCCACCTCCAAGCAGCAGCTCAAGGCCCAAGCACCTATAACGAGTGCATGTTATTAGTATCATTACCTGTGCAGGCGGGCATACGAGGGACTTAGGCTGCGCTCCTCCAAGTTCGCGCGAACGAGGTTTTCCCAATTCGTGAAATGTGCGTGCGCTCTAAATTGTTGTCCATTACGATTATTAATTACAAATGAATTCATGTAGTTTGCTGCCAATGTGGCGATGCCGCCGACATAACGCCCAGAGCCAGGAGCACTCCCTCCATGGCGTGAACACGCGTGAACATGCGTAAATCACGGCAAATGTCACGCGGTTTATGGGTGCCTCACTGTGCAGCCTGCCTCCGCACCTGCGTGCTCCTTGTACACAAACGGAAGCGGGCACAGTGGCTCGGGCATTGCAAGCCAACAGTGGAGGTTACTACACACTTCCTCGTGACCACCCGGGTTGATGCTTGCCACGCCATGCACGCTGTCAGAGTATCATCCAATTACGCACAATCTGGGAAAAACCCTAAGCTGGATTCAGCCCGGACACCACTTGGACAGGCGGCCACTGTGTACATCTAAAGAGATAAGCAGACAAATAGGTCTCCTTCGTACGTCTCGTTTAAGTCAATCTAGGAGAGGCCCAGCACCGTATTAGATATTCACCACCATGAGAAATCGACAGGGTTCATAGTACAGTGTTCTAACCACTATACTACCAATCCTTGACCAGCATGAGACGCACACAGACACATAGACAAAGATCCCCGTATAGTCTTAACAGACTGTTAGGACGGTATGCTGTTAGCAAGTAGCACCTTGAAGGCCGGCATGGCATACAAGGGAGTGGGTGGCCAGCACCACGCCTGGCCGCCTTTGTCTCCTTAGTGGTGATGTTTATACACCATACCAGGTTTTTATTTGGAGGCCAAGTCGACCTAGGGGAGGCCCAGGACCGATTAAGATAATAATCGGTGTTGGCCGTGAGCGGGAATCGAACTTGTGTCGCAGGGTTCACAGCGCGGCGTGCTGACCACTACCGCACACGCGCGCACACACGCACACACGCGCGCACACACGCGCACGCACACACACGCACACACACGCACACGCACGCACCCCTTGCGTCCAGGGGTAGGAGGAGGAGAAAGTGAGCGATGAAAATGCCGAGCTGGCAGCTTCACGTTGCCTGGGTGGGCGGCCGCGGCCCGCCCAGGCAAGCCGGCCAACCGTACCCTAGTTTGCAAGCTTCTCTCCCCTAGCGGGCACGCGGGGGTCGTTTCACCGGTGTGCGGGGGGGGGGAGCGTTCGATCGGAGGCGTTGCAACGGGGATGCTGGTGCGATGGTCAGCACCGCTGGACTCGCGATCCATAGGTCGCCGGGTTCAACGGGTTCGCCACGGTCGGTTGATCGGCAGGCGACGTGCGCGAGGCAAAGTGTGGCATAGTCGGTCAATGGCACAGCTGCACCGGTCCCTTTCTACACAAGGGCGCCCTGGCTCAACCACAGAGGCCACGTGGTGGCGCGGCCGCTTGACATGTCAACCTTCTGGCCACTCCGCGGAAATGGCAAAAAACGATTAAGAGCTTAATGACATGGAGTGAACCGCGCAAGCACCACAAATGCACTCGTACGCGGAGAAAAACACGACAGAAATTAAATCAGCCATGCATTATTCACGGAGGCATTACTGCGCGAGATGGCGACAAATTAATTATTGATGCGGACAATTACTCAGAGCTCGATTCTAGGCACTGCCGGTGCAATTACAGACGTCAAAAAAATTGAAACCCCAGTGACGTTAAACAACATTAACGACGTTTTAAACCTCGCAACTTAACCTGACAACCGCTGATAACAATTCAATTACGCGCGTCTAACGTGGGGCGGCCATCGATTGCGGAATCTCAATTCCCGCGAGTGACGCAGGTGGAATAACAAATAAAATCTACCATCGAAGATTCGCATTCAGGCACCACCCAGGGTTTAAAACGCAGGCCCTTTAGAAGTCCATGAGCCCAGACCAGATGCCTCACTTGCTGGTACCACCCGATTACCACCACTTTAGCAGTTCCAATTTATTTATGTGGCCAGTTTTCTAGAGACTGAACACCACTTTCTCAAGAACCGCTTTGTGTTAAGTTTGCTGCCCTTCCCCCGCATCTCCGATGAGCATAGTAGGCTACGTACGGTGCAAAAGAATAACAGTGAATTACGTGACGACTTGTAGCGAGTTAACTCGTTAGGGGGGATCTGACCCAAGGTGCTGGCCGAATCAAAACAAACATCCCCCGTATAGCCTTTAACAGACTATTGGGGACCCCGTATAGCCTTTAACAGACTATTGGGGAAAGTGCTGTTAGCAAGCACCTATGAAGGCCGGCACAACAGACGAGGGGGTGGGTGGCCTTCTCCAAGCCCGGCCGCCTTTGTCTCCCCAATGCTGATGTTTACACACTGCACCAGGCATTCATTTGAGGCCGAGTTGACCTAGGGTAAGGGCCCAGAACTGCTTCAAATATTCACCGCTGTTATTAGTCACGAGTGGGAATTGAACTCGGGAATCCGGGTTCGTAGCGAGACGTGCTAACCACTGCACTACCGGCTCCCCATACACACACACGCACCCAGTAACACACGCACGTGTGATTTGCGCTCGTACGCCCACATTGCATACGAAAGTTGTCGTAAACAAGGGTATTCCATTGCCACCCTTGCGCAAAATCAATACTGACATGGACAATGGTGCGTCGGTAAGCTGAGTGGTTGAGTTTGGCATCTGTCACTTGAGCAATTTTGCAGTTTATGAAAGTTATACAGCCCGTGCTGAGGTGGACATAAGACATCGAATCCCGGGCGTGGCTATAAGGACCCGAAATGTCATCGTCATATCCTCACTATTGTGTTATTGATAAACGTGTTGTGTTTTTTTTTATAAGGGTCTGTTAGCCTTCATCAAATCTCGTCAGGTATCCTCGGAGAACCAGACAGACGGACGGATGGATACGATTACCTGGCACGGCAATTCCACACGGTTCCTTAAATAACCTGGATGGGGGGGGGACACCCAGGGCGGCCGTCCTATAGTTGTACAACACTCAAAATGGGCTCGTGTAATCGAGCCGACGGAACATTTAGGATGGTAGATCGCCGTACACGCCGAGATCGGTTCAGATAAACACCCGCATGGGCAGCAAAGTGCCTGCAAGGAAGGAGTACATGAAGTAGGAAGCTGGGATTAACTGTGTGCTGGGGTTTTGTGTTTTTCCTTGGTAAGTATGGGTTTTCTCTGGGCAGCTCGGTTTCCTTCCTTGCAATGAAAGCGCTAAAAAAATGGGATTGGTCAAACACCCCACGCAGGACAGTCCTGAATAATAAAGCCTCGACAAGCACTGCACAAGTAATTAAATGCAAACAAAAAATAAACTTTGAAGAGCCAATCGACAGTGACGGGCGACGGCAATAAACAACGAGGGAGTTGCAAAACGCCGACACAAAAACTGTGAATGCCGTGTGCCGCTCAGCACAAAGAGACGCGTTTAAAGTTGGTTCAAACAGAACCGCTGACAGAGCCACGGATCCAAAGTTCAACAACGGTGCATGACAGGGTCCGTCAAAAAAAATGCAAGCGAGCAGACAGACCAGAAAGTGCCGACTACGAAGTATGACGCGTCTTGGCTCTCGGCGAGAAGACACTGCTCGGCTGGCAGAGCAGTGCAGATGGCAGGGCAGAGTTCAAATCCTGGCCAGGGTCAGCTCGACTATCACCACCACCAACAACAACAACAAGTGCCGTTACTGTTTTACTCAGCTCAACCAAATCAGCAGCACGTGGTGAGTTCACACACCCCCTTGGTGAGAGGCCAACTGTGCTTGTTTAAAATGGCCTCGTCTTGACCACTGGAATGTGGAATTGCTATTGCTTCAAGAATAGCAAAAGGGCCAATTTTTAAATCTGGACACGTACGTTACACAATTCGGGATCTCAGCTAGAGGCAAGCACGCGTCGTGGGTTTTTGGTTTAGGCCATGAAACCATCTGGCCAGATGTGTCCCTATGACTCTCCACCATCCTACGGGGCAAAACGAATTATATTGGTCACGTATAGTGGAAATTGTCAGTTTGCATGAGCACGTCCGACACCCTGGTCATTGTATGGGCACTATCTCCCATGTCGTTGAAAGGTGGACAAATTGCTTACATCCGAATCGTAGTCGTAATGGGCTGGCGTACCTCGCTTAAGTAAAAAGCCACTGTCCGTCGCTTTTACGAAGATTATTCAAAACCTTTCAAGTGTCTGCAATGGCGGAACGGACATCTGGAGCCAAGCAAGCAGACGTGGCGTTCACCACGATACCAGGGTTGGCAGAAGAGTCGGTGGTGCCCATTAGCCATAAGAAGTCACTACAAATCGGCATCTTAATTGCTCAATCAATCTCTGAGCCACCTCCCTCCCTTCATCCACGATTCATGGGCCCCAACCCAGGACAATGAATAATTGTGCATGCAGGAAGGATACAAGAAACCCCTTCAGTGAGCGCAGAAACTCGCGGGCTGCATACCAAACTACCCCTTTTTAAAAAAAAGGCAAAATAA